TTGTGTGTTATGGGGTAACAAATGGTTATTTGGGGTATTATTGTGGTGTATGAGGTATTAATCAAGTGTGCGGTATAAATGGAGTGTGGCACGTTAATTGTCTGTGGGGTATGCAAGCGCTGTGTGTTGTACTAATGGGGTGTGTGGTTTTAATGCGGTGTGTTGTGTTAATGGGGATTATTGTATTAAGATGGTATGTTGTATTAATGGTGTGTTTGGTAATAGTTGGGTGTTTGGGACACTAATGTTGTGTGTTGGATACTAATGAGAAGTGGGGTGTATCAATGGATTGTATGGACTGTTAAAGGTGTTTGGAGTATTAATATGCTGCGGGTTATTAATGGGTTGTGCGGTATTAATAGAATGTGGGGTATTAATTTGCTGTGTTATGAATAGGGTGCATGGTATTGGGGTTCGTGGTATGAGTGGGGTCTGTGTTAATGACGTAGTGTGTGGTATTAATTGGGTATATGGGATATTATTGGTGCGTTTGTACTAATGGTGATGCAGTACTACTGGGTTTTAGTTTATCAATGGTTTATGGCGTATTAATGGGGTGTTGATATCAATGGGGTATGAGGTGTTGATTGGGTTGGGTCTGTTGATGGGGTTGTTACAAATTTGTGGGTGTGTGATGTCAATGGTGTGTGCGGTATTAATGGGCTTGTGGTGGTAATGTTGTATGTGGTAATAATGAGGGGGGTGGTAATAATGGATTGTTTTAGTAGGGTATGTGGGATATAAATGGTACATGTGGGATACTAATGGGGTGTATGCGATATTAGTTGGGTGTGAGGAATCAATATTGTATGAGGCATTAATGTGCGGTATTAATGTGGTGTACGTGGTATAAATGCAGTGTGTTTTATTAATGGGATGTGTGGTACTATTGGGTTGTATCAATTATTAATTGTTTGTGTGCGGTATTATTGGTGTGTGTGGAGTTTAATAATGAGGTGTATGATGTGTTAAAGGCTTGTGCGGTATCAATGGGGTGCAAGATACCAATGAGGATGTGAGTTGTTAATGAGGTGTGCGATATTAATCGGGTTTTGTGGGGTATTAATCGATATTAATGGGTTATTTTTGGGTTGTGGGTTAATAATATGGTGTGGGGTGTCAATGCGGGTTAATAATATGGTGTGGATTATTAATGTGTTGTTGAGTATTAATGGTGTGTATGGTATCAATGGGGTGTGGGTTTTATTGTGCTGTTGGGCAATAATGGAATGTGAGGTGTTAATGGTTTGTGGGCTTTTAATTTGGTGTGGGATATTAATGAGGCGTGGGGCATAATTGGGATGACTGGCAAAGATGTGGTGTGGGGTACCAATGTGGCTTGTAGGGTATTAATGGGGTGTGGTTTATTGATGGGTTGTGGGATATTAATAGGGTGTTGTGAGCAATAGGTTGTGATGTATACATGGCGTGTGGGTTATTAATGGAATGTGAGTTATTAATTGGGTGTGTGGTATAAATGTGGTGTGAGGTACTGATAGAGTGTGTGGTATTCATTTTGTAGATGTTATTAATGGAGTGTATGATATGATTTAGTTTTTAGGCATTTTTTAGGCTTCTGTTGGTTTGTGGGTATTAAAGGGTTGTGGGGGTCATTAAATGATTGTGTGGAGAATCATTGATGTGTGCGGAGTACTATTGATGTGTGCGGAGTACTAATCAATGGTATGATGTACTATAGTTTGTGGGTTATTAACGAGGTGTGGGGTATTAATAGATTTGTTTGATATGTATGAGCTGCGGTATTCTAATGGAGTTTGGGGGCCATTAATGTGATATGTGCTTTGTGTGGCATTAATGCAGTTTGATTTATTAATGGGTTGCGGGATATTAAGAGGGTGTTATACAGCAATGGGTTGTGGGATACTAATCGGTGGATGGTACTAATGTGGTTTGGGATATGAGTGCAGTGTTGGTATTAATATTAATATATTAATATATAGCAATATGTTGTGATGTATACATGGGGTTTGGGATATTATTGGAATTTGAGTTATTAAATGAGTGTGTGATATTAATGGGTTTTGAGGTATTAATAGTGTGTCTGGCATCAATCGTTGTGACGTATTAATGGGGTGTGTGGTATTAATGTGGTATATGATATTAATGGAATGTATAGTATTCATGGTTTTTAGGATACTAAAGGGGTATGAGTGGTATTAATTGGTAGTGTGGAGAATTATTGGTGTGTGCGCGGGCTACTAATGAAATGGTTAATTAATGGTTTTTGGGGTATTAGTGAGGCGTGGGTTATTAATGCGTTGTTGGATATCATTGGGGTTGTGGAGTATTAATGTGGTGTCATGCATTAATAGGGCGTGGGATATTAAAATGATTTGTGGGGAGTTATTGTGGTGCGGGTTACTGATAGGGCGTGGTTTATGAATGTGTTGTTTGGTATTAATGGTGTGTGTTTCATTAATGGGGTGTGGGGTATTATTGTGGTGTCACGGATTAATGGATTGTGAGGTATTAATGAGGTGTACGGTTTTAATTGGGTGTGAGGTATTAATGGGGTGTGGGCTATCAATGGGCTACATGGTATTAATGGTATGAGGGGAACTAATGTGTGTTAATTGACATTAATGGGG